CAATTCCAAAGTCGCGGAAAATCGTATTAGCTTTAAAATTTCTAGCCTTCTTTAGTTTGTAGTTTGTATTTATGAAAATGCAATACAGGATACAATATTTTGCGAATACTCCCAGAAAAGTGCGGGGTTTTGGGAGGAGATTTTAGCTTTGAAACCCAAGCTTCGAGTTTACTACTAATCAAAACGCGGGAAGCATTTGAATAGAAGGCTAGATATAACATTCTTTTTCAACAAAAAATCGCATACGAATTGCATTTTGCCGATAAAATGTTCCTTTAGCAAATTAAGATTTTACAAGACAGCAGTTTTGAATTTCAATTGTTCTTTTAAAAATGGAATTGAACGTGTTGTGAAATTTTTACTGTCGTTTTACGGCCATTTTTATACCATTAGAGCCGGAGCTATGTAAGCACGTGAAGGAATAGCTCAAGCTCAAACAAAAGATACTAACCAGAAATGAATGTTTTCGGCAATGCAGTAAATCGAAACATATATTTCTGAAATTTAAAAATAAGGTTATGATTTTTAAAGCGCCGAGACTGTTTTTATTTGCGCTCCCAGTTTCGACAAAATACTAGAATTCATGAATTTTATCCAATTCTGGCAATAATGAAGAAGCCTTAGTTTTTATCGAGGGCACGCAATTCCATTAAATTTTTCTAGATAGTTTTTCTAGAATTTTCAGCGCCGGGATTAAGCTCGCGATGCTACCGAATTTCCGGAAATTAGGGTTGGCTTTTTTAAGGGGACGGCATCGGCAATTTTTCAAAGTAACGCAATAAAATATACATGCAAAAACCAAAGCTCAATGTCGACGAATTGGCCAACAATTAATTTATTTTCATCCATCAACAAGCGAAACGTATTTTTTTGGAAAGATTTTAAACTTTGCAACCCTTCGAGGAGCCCCTTTTTCCTTACGATGCAATTTTTTTCTGATATAAATAGGGGAAGGGTTTATAAGATGATTTTTATGATTTCCAAATGCGAAAATCGTTAGGATTTGTATGAAAAATACAACATAGCGACTTTTCGAGCAAAAATTTAGGGTTTTGAAATGGGTTTTTGGGCCTTTAGATGGTTTTGCGCCACTTGAAATATAGCCAATTTGACTTTTCAAACACTCACTGTTACACTAGACTTTTGTGAACCTACTGCAAAAATTTGCGATGACCTGCTATAATGCTAAAGGGCTCTGACTTCATAAAAATTTAAGGAAATTTGGATTCATAAGAAAATTTAATAATGATTTGAATAAGCGTTTGATCAGCCATTTTACGTTGTCTATCTTTAAAGGTACAGTGACAAGGGCACTCACTGTGGTTTTTTACAATACAAGCGGAAAACAGTACAATTTGCGATTAGTGCCGTAGTAATTCATCTGGAAGTCTGAGTAAGGTGTAACACGCTTTTTAGCCACGCCAGAACTGGTGTCCTAAAATTCTTCGTTAACATATGAAAAAGTGCCAGGATGTTTTTAGATTTCCAAATTGGCAAAATTTGCGGGAAATATTAAATAAAAACAATAAGTTAACGGAAACATGATTGATTAGCTCATGCTCGCTTTATTCTAATGTAGTGCAGTCAAAACACATTTTTTTACTTTAACAATCTTGTGGTAACTAAATATCGCACCAACTGACCAATTTTAGGGGTTGAATTGTGAGACACGGTTTTTTAACACCCAGTTTAGAAATCGAAACATGTCCGAAGATCGATTGCTCTACCAATTCTGAAGCTGATGTTGATAAGGTTTAAAACACACCTTTAACGGGCTGCAAATGCAAGACCCGCCGAGTCCCAAGAGCCACTCGAAGAAATTGACGGCCAAACCACGTAGCGCTTAATTGAGGCCTCAGTCGGTGATTAGCAATGGATACCCCATGATTTTTGGAATTTTTTTGCCGCGTCGTATGGGGTTATTTTGCCCTTTAGATGGTTTTGCGCCACTTGAAATATAGCCAATTTGACTTTTCAAACACTCACTGTTACACTAGACTTTTGTGAACCTACTGCAAAAATTTGCGATGACCTGCTATAATGCTAAAGGGCTCTGACTTCATAAAAATTTAAGGAAATTTGGATTCATAAGAAAATTTAATAATGATTTGAATAAGCGTTTGATCAGCCATTTTACGTTGTCTATCTTTAAAGGTACAGTGACAAGGGCACTCACTGTGGTTTTTTACAATACAAGCGGAAAACAGTACAATTTGCGATTAGTGCCGTAGTAATTCATCTGGAAGTCTGAGTAAGGTGTAACACGCTTTTTAGCCACGCCAGAACTGGTGTCCTAAAATTCTTCGTTAACATATGAAAAAGTGCCAGGATGTTTTTAGATTTCCAAATTGGCAAAATTTGCGGGAAATATTAAATAAAAACAATAAGTTAACGGAAACATGATTGATTAGCTCATGCTCGCTTTATTCTAATGTAGTGCAGTCAAAACACATTTTTTTACTTTAACAATCTTGTGGTAACTAAATATCGCACCAACTGACCAATTTTAGGGGTTGAATTGTGAGACACGGTTTTTTAACACCCAGTTTAGAAATCGAAACATGTCCGAAGATCGATTGCTCTACCAATTCTGAAGCTGATGTTGATAAGGTTTAAAACACACCTTTAACGGGCTGCAAATGCAAGACCCGCCGAGTCCCAAGAGCCACTCGAAGAAATTGACGGCCAAACCACGTAGCGCTTAATTGAGGCCTCAGTCGGTGATTAGCAATGGATACCCCATGATTTTTGGAATTTTTTTGCCGCGTCGTATGGGGGCTTTTGATGCTCATTGGGTGCGTTGAAGTACGAGTGAAGGTTTGGGATGCAATTAAAAAACTGGGGGAGCCAATAAAAAAAGCGCAGGGACTTGAGTCGTGTCTGACTCAGGATTATCATTGAAAAGATTGGATCAAAATACGGTGTTCAGAACTTCAGAAGGCACCACAGATTACCCCTCTCCTTTTTGCGTCAACAAGAGCAACATCTCCAGATTACCGGAAAACACGGAACGTGCAGGGGAAGTTCAACGCGGCTGATAAGATTTTTGTAGCTGGACCTCCAGAAACGAGGGCTTTGACCTCACCACCATTCGAATTCCATTAAAAAGTCTAGCCAGGTCGCGGGGGTCGGAATTTCGGGTTTTGCTGCAATCCACCCATTGCACGACAGGCCCTTATCTTCATTTCGGTACATAAACTTTCGGTGGGCCTATATAGCCTGAGAGAAGCCGGGGGAATTCCCCGCTCGAATTTAGGCCCACAGGATTTTTGGTGGGCCTAAAATTGCCAAAAGTATGGAATCTTTGAGATCGGATTTTTATTGAAACATTTGATTGATCATCCGATTTTGCTAGTTTGTTTTTTGTGCTATATGTCATACGGAGCTCTTCGATTATTGCGAATATACCTACATAGACATTTTAGGCTAATTTTTTTTGAAACCGATGATTTTACAAAGTTCATACCTACCGGATAATACTGAACGTTTTCAAATTTATGTAATGTTTGTTTTCTGAAACATTTTTACATTCTCGTAGATACTGTCCGCAGAAATCAGCCAAGTCAGCCAATTTCAGAAACATGCCGTCGTTAAAAAAACTCGACCTGGTATATTCTGCTTAAATTTTGCCTAACGATTAAAAGACTAGCTTTCAGAAATAATTATTCATAAATCTAAAATTTCTAAATTATAAAATACAGGGAAACTTTGATTTCATTTTTTATCCGATTTAACAATTTTCTTGGCATGCTGAGAAATTTATTAATTTAATTAATAATTATTTCTGATTCCATAAAATTCTTGGCTAGTCTACTCGATCGCTAACCTAATTTTTTCGGGCTCTCGAAGAACCTCTGCTGGCTTGCTCGGCGGCGAAAAAGCAAGCGGTTCAACTCGTTCGCTTATTCTTCGCATTGAAATAAAAAGCTCCACTTTTCTTCTGTAAAATTCATGAAACATTATTTGTTTTTAATAAGAGTTGGGGTTTTAATGTCTGTTTTCTCAAAAACATCTATTAAGTACAATTAGGCGACCGATAAAATACCTCACAATTAGTACAGTTATTTCACCACAACCAGGCTGGTTTTCATCGAATTTGCGCCAAATTGTGACTGTAAGAATTGCCCTTGTCATTTTTAGATTGACCGATGCGGAAAACATTGTGTGAAACTCGTGCATTAAATTCACGAAATTTATTCCGGCAATTATAATTTATTAAACATTTTGACGTTTTCTTAAAAACAGTTGCCAATTTCCGGTCGCTATTGTCTATCGTTTATGATGAAGCACAAGTTTTTAACTCCGCGAAAATAAATTTTTTGTAAATCCGCCTTCAATAATGCCGATTCGCCTAATAGACAAGCTTGTTTTTGGCTCTAATCGGTGAGTTCCAGCTGCCTGACTTTCCATTGATTGAAAGCGACGCACTTGGTTATGTATTTTGGATGAAACACATCTCCGAAAAAGTTTCTGATTGCTTAAACCAATCCTCTTTTTTAAATTCCTTAATTTCTGTCTGCACAATATAGTTTCAACTTGAAACTCGACGCATATCTTATCAGGAAAAAAAGAAAATCTGAGTATTTATTTGGTTTACCACTGTTTTTGGGCAGGCCCCGAAAAACCATAAAAAGGTAAAAATTAATTTTTCATGTTTTTTTAACCAAATCTGAGTAAGAGGGAATTATTCGCTTTTCGGAATTAGCTTTCTTTTCATAAAATTTTGTTTCCTTGAATTATTCTTCTGATATTTTAATCAGGTAATTCTGCAAAATTTGCATGCATTTTTTAAAACCCATTAAGTTTCTTTGCAGTAATTCTTTGAATCAGTTTTCTCTACTCAGATCGTTTGTCGTCCATTTTTGATGAGCTATTATAATTTCCCATAAGCCGCCTATATTTTGTTGATCATAATTTTTATTCATGCTTTTTATTATATATCGAAATTATTTCTATTTTTGAATTTTTCTAGCAGCAATTCTTCTCTGTGTCGCCTAAAAATGGACTCGGATTGGCTAAAAATAATTCTGTTGGTGGTTATGACAGTGTTATCCGTTTTATTTGGCGTGCTGCCAATAAAGGTATCAAGTTTATGGCATTCCTATTAAAATCTACAATTTAAGCTGAGCTCCAAGCTGAAGGAACTATCGCATCGAGGAGCCATGCGGAGTCGAAGTAAGTATTCCTTAAATTCAAGGCCACAACGATTTTCTGGGAAAGTTAGAAAAATATGTTTCCAACATACCTAAAGTCTAGGCTCAAAATGAAGGGAGAATCGCTAACGCTCTATTGCTTCTCTATCACAAAAGTCGCTTCTCAGAATGGAAAAGGACCATGTTACGAATTTTCCGGGCTTCCCGTCGAATCCAAATCGCTCAATTCAGAGAAGAACCTCTCTACCTAACTTTCTAACGCTGATTAATTAAAAATTATAGCATAAACTTGGGGCTAAGGTTGTTATAGATTAGTGTCATTGTCAAAAAAGCTAATGGTTCAAAATGGCATTATTTCTGTTAATGTTTTTCAAATTCCATTGTTTCGAATTGCTGGCTTCTGCACTTTTTCTTAAAAAATTGCTTCAAATTACATTGACGTTTTGCCAGCAAAAAAGCTACTAAATTGTATTGGATTTTGCTGCAAAATCCAAATCAAATCTCTTAAAAATTTAGTTTTGCGAAAATAATGTTAAATTAAAGGCCTCAACGGCAACAAGTATTAATAATAGGATACACTTTTTTTTACTCCTTGGATCAGAAACATGTTTTTATCAAGCGGATATGATTAAAAATTGTCAATTTTTTTATTAGCCAACCAGAAACATTCTTTTTTTGAGGCGTTTTTCTCTTGATGTTAATATTTCGCTCATTATCCATTAAATTTAGAGTTTGATTTTGATTTAACCTTTTTTTACAGGTCAACTGATCATCTCGGTTATCACGTGCTTCGCGGGTGGTGTTTTTCTGGGTGTCTGTCTGCTGGACGTGCTGCCGGACGCACTGTAAGAACTTATAATGTTTTAACTCTTGATACCTTCGATTCTCCGATAAAAATTAGTGATAGTGATTACGCAAAAAAAAATAGGAAAAATAGGAAAAATATTCAGATTTTTATTCCCGAAGATTCTCTCGGTAACCGTCGATTTTAATCGTATTGTAATTCATAAAATTTAGATTTTCTGACATCGCGAAAAGACCTCGATAAAAAATCGTAATTCGACGTGGTTAAAATCCTTTGATAGATATAAACTAGTAGAGAAGTTTATGCCGTAAAAATGTAGTAAAATTTATATATTTCAGCGATTCGTGGGAGAATGTGCAAAAATCGCTGGACTACAACACCGATTATCCGTTCGTTCCGCTGTTGTGCGGACTCGGGATTATGGGTGTTTGGGTTTTTGAGGTAATTTTTGATCTTAGAGATATATATGTGAAAGGCTTAAATTCTTCAAAATGTAAAGGAAACCTTAAAAAATTAAAAGACGGAAAATTAAATTAACATTTACATAAAAAGTACAGTATCTTTTTCGAATTCGGTTTTAGACATTTAAAAAACGTTTATATGGTGCTTGTGTGTTATCGGGGTGGGGTGTGAATTTTTCATGAAGTCCAGAAATATCTAATAACGTAATACCAGGCATTTTAGTGGTTTTTTTGTAAAATTTAGATATATGGCAAGTGGCGAAGCTCGCTAAAACTTTGGAAAATTCTAGAAATCAATACCTATGTCGAAAATCGATCGTTTTTATTTTTCCGTAAAATTTTCTAAGAAAAATCCGTTTAGAAAAAATACGAAGCAGCTTAGAAACGTTGCCCTTATTTGCCCCCTAAAAACGAGCTTCCAAGAAAAAAAAGTTGTTTCTTCCCCGATATTGCAAAAGTACCGTTTATTTTTTTTCTGGGAATCAAATGGGTAGCGATATTAAAGAAATGGACGCTTCTTAGAATGACTTAGAAAATAAAACATTTTTTCAGGAATGCACAATCGTTTGTCACAATGTGGCCAATCGTCGAATCGATGCGAAAAGTATGGCAAGGTGAGTGTTTGTGATTGCATCTGAAAAAATGTAAAAATTTATTGAAGAACACCTTAACATGTTTTAAGATGCCTTCAATATTAATCAGAAGATGGTTACTTTAAGATGAGACATGGCGACTCAGATTTATCTTTAGAAAAATTCTCGAAATACAGTAATTTTTCGAAACATGCCTCGACATTCGCCTTTCTTTCGATTTCGTTATTTTTTTATTTGAACGTAATTTTATTAGTTATATGCGCTTATTTTTCCAAAGTTTCTTTCGATATAATCTGATTTCCCAGCGCGGACCAGGTTTTGGAATTGACGAGAAATATCTTTAGTTCCCGGGACGAGGACGTGGAGGGTGATATTTTGAGACAACGAAAGGCTACGATTATTTCGAGGATGTCTTCTACGGTAACTAGTTAAGATTATACCAGAATTATGGGTGGTTTGATAATTTTTTCGCTTTAGAAGTTGTTGATAAAGATCATAGGTCAAAAAGGTTGCTAACAACCATAAAAATTACAAATTTGGCCGTGTTTTTGACAAGTTAAGTTAGGAGGAGTTTACTCTGATACACGGCATAAATTTTTAAAGCGCATGACCAAAAACTGCGCATCCGAGCTGAACAAAAACAGTTGAAAAAACAAGGTTTCAACCATTGTTTACAGTTCTTAAATACCGTAAAATATTAATTAATTGAGGCGTATAACAAATTGGAAAATGGGTTTCATAAGTTTCCCTGCCTATGCTGGACGACCCAGAATTAATTCATTCAGCTCCGATGCGAGAAAAAGTACGGTTTCAAGGGAAAATATTTGAGAGAGAAAACGTAAAGTTTTGGGGTGAAGTCGACTGTTTGAGCCCACTTGAATTATATGTCGTAATGCCCTTTAAAGCGCACGTTCAGGGAAGGGCCGTGTACTCGTCCCAACGTGTACACCCTATGGACGTTGGGACCGCGCGCCCTGCCTGCCCGAGCCGTGGGAGGCCTTTCCCCGCCTTTCCGGGGTGGGGCGCCCTTCGGCCCCTCACCAGGTTGCACCTGTGGCTGACTGGTATGCGACGGCGTCTCCGGATTGGGAGACCCGGGTTCTACCCCCGGCCGCGGCAAAACTCTTTGCTTTCTTGCCCAAAAACGTCCCTGAACCTGCCCTTTAAAGACCCTTGGAAAGATGGCCGGGCGTCCCCAGGGGTGAGGGACCGAGGGGGCGATACCGTGCACGCTTTCCATCGCGTAAGGGCCCCCAAAACCCCAGACTGGGTTTCAAGAAAACAGATTTATAGCCATAACTGTTTTGATTGATGATATTTGTGGCCAGAAACTTCCATAAAAATAGTTTTTAGCCATCCCCATCGGTGATAAAAATTTGAGGCTGATTGGATAGAAGGCGGCCATGTTCTGAGCGGAAAGAGGTTTTTAGGGCGCGTTTTAGTTAAAAATCGTCGGAAAGTGTATAAAACACTTCAGGAATTCAGGGGAGTACTTTCCTTGCCCTTAGCAAGCTTTTCCGTAGGATTTTTCGTTATTATTATTTGTAAATCGCTTTATTTTTAATTGTTGCCCAGTAACGTGCACAAGTTCGGCCCTAGGGTATTTGGGGCCCCTCCACCGCCCCCTCCCATTCGGCCCCTTTGGTGTGGGGGCAGCGCGTTGGACTGCGGAGCGGACCATCCCTGGTTCGACTCTCGCCCGGTGCACCATTTCTTGCTTTTTGACCAATCCCATCTTTCCAGAGGCCTTTAAAGGGCTGCCGACGGCATGTCTCGATCCCCCCCCCCCCCTCATCAACAAATTGGCAAGTAGCCAACAGGGGAGAGAGCGCGCATAGGGGAGAGGTGCGGAGACATTTTCTTTTCCGCGCGTAACCGATTGTCTATGCCGTCGGCATCCCTCAGCATCCCAGCCGCGCGGTCGCTTTGCGGCGGTACTGGTCATTTTCCAGACATAGACGCTTTAGGGTCGGCCATACTTCACAGCCCCTTTGCAGAAGAACTGAAGGCAAAAGCAATCAAAAATTCAAATTTTAATTCAATTCAATTCAAAATCAACAAAAGAATACGGGAAAAATAAGTTTTCAACTATTTCTAAAACTCGGTAAATCCCGTAAAAGATTAATGGATCGAGAGAAAAACATGAGTTTCACAATTTCCTGCTTAATGCAAAATTGCCACCATTCGCTAAATACCATCCCATACGATTTAAACAAATAACTTCTAGGCTCGGCTCGACATGGGCGAGACGCCACTGATCCGATCGATCACCTTCGTTTCGGCATTTGTTTTTCACTGTTCGCTGGAAGGGTTCGCGTTTGGGATTCAGGTAATTTGGACAGGCATTGACCATTCAAAGGTATACTTTCACAATCATATTTTTTTATTAATGCAATGATGAATACTTTATATATTACTGTTTAGAAATGGTTAGATCCCTGTAAAAATACAAAAAATAATAAGAAGTATACAAAAAATATACAAAACTCGATCTCCAATTCTTAGATTGCAGTGTTTCAAAATATTTGCTAGATGGTGTTTAGTTAGAATGGTTAATCAGTTACGCAAAATATCTCCTAGCTAACTTTCAGGTGTTGAGGTTAATCGCATTGAACGTCTTTGCGGAATATTATTTTTACTGGAACTCGACAAAACATGGTTTTTACTGTAAAATTCATAAATCGAAATAAAAAGGAAATAACCATGATATTTTGAATGGATCAATAAATTCTCGGCAAATTGTCTCATAGTTTTTTTCATTTCAATGATATAGACAAAATATCTCGTATCTGGCGTCAGGGCTAATAGCGTTAATGTTAATCGAATATTCGTGAATTTGCCCAATCTTATTACCGTGATGATCTCTTGAATAAATATATATTATTAGCATTAAACTTAAAAAATAAATCTAAAATCAGTATAATACTTGCAGCATTTCGGCGTTACACCTATAAATTGGCGACCAAAATGAAGCAATCTTCTATCTTTTTTTCAGGAAGACACCGTGTCCATCACTTCACTATTTGCCGGGATCATGCTGCACAAGGTATCGGTATAAGCTATTACTTAACTCGCCTTCCATTAAAGAAAATATGTTTTATTGAATTCTGTGGCTATCGAGATTTTTTCAAAGTCAGTTCGGCCCCGCCATGTGCAAAATAGTTTAGTTCGTAAAGAACGAATAGTTTCGGCCATAATCGTAATTTATTTATTTATTTTATTGTCATTTATTGTTTTTTATTTCCTGTTCTAGCATATCCATGGTGATTTGATTAGTTTTGTTTAGTTTTGCGAAATCTAATCGACAGGCGTTTTGGAAAAATCAGGTTTCATTAAATGCTAGTGCGACTTTGAAACGATTCGAATATCAGTGTTTTCTTCATTTACTATTATTTGTATTTTTAAGTTTTTACTCGCATTTGCTGCAAAAAATATGGCCTTTCATTGGTCAATCAAACTCCTATAATTAAATCAATAACTTGTATTTTAACTTTAATTTTAATTTAATCGAGACCGACCTTGGAAAAATAAGGTTTCATCAAATCGTTGTGTTAGCAAATGGCTGGCGCTTGTAATGCAGCATAAATTCTTTTTGTTCGCAAAAGGTTCTGTAGATTAAAATCTTATTGCTTTTAATGATTTATATTGTAAAAATGTTAAATTTTATTTCATTCAATAATTCAGTGTGTGGTGTTCTTCTCGATCGGGGTGCGGCTGGTGAAGGCACATGGACAACGGACGTTCGTCGTCGTCGGCCTGATCGTATTTGTGGCAATTACGGCCCCTTTGGGAGGAGCTATCGGTATTATTGTTAAGGTATGAGAAGCGTAGTATGTAGTATGAAATTGGAGATCAAATTCGGCATTAAAGCGATTCCACGCTAATTTTTTTAGATATACCGAGTTGACAAAATAATGAGATTTCGTTGAGCTGCTTTCCCCTAAAAGCTTTCTGGTTCCACTAAGCATTTTATTTTATCCTTTTTAATGTTATTTTTTGAAACAGTTTTCTTTCCTTCGCCCCGGATTCCGAATGCATTTTTGCCGCTCCCGATATCCGATACGATACGCAATCCCGAGAGTGCGCGTTACGGCAAAATGCATACAGATTCTAAGAACCACAGAATATATAAAATACTAGATATCTGAACCGTACTTTATTTAAAACTCATTTTTTTCAGGACTCGAAAATCAACACGACAGCAAAGGATGTGTCAATGTTGGTGCTGAGCTGTCTGTCGCTCGGCACATTTCTCTACATTACATTTTTTGAAGTGAGTTGGAACTACTGCTCAATGAAACTTGTTATTACAATAATTAATTGACTTACTTGAATTTTCGCCAAAAAATCAGGTCCTGCGCTTAGCTTGCAAAGGTCAAAACATGGAAAAATACGCGAGTGAAATCGGGCAGAATCACCATAGTCAACGAAAGATTTTTACGCTGAAGCGGCAAAAGTTTTTAAAAAATATGTTGGATGTGAATGGGGTGCTAGGAGAGAAATTTGTTTGCTAATTTGTCTTGTATTGCTTTTCTATACCTACCTACCTTTTTTATTTTGTTATTGCGTTATAGGCGCTTGCCATGTTTAAATTTTCCGTAGTAATCCCGTAAGGCCCTTTCACGAGATATTTTATCGTTTCCATTGCATTTTACTCTGCCGTTTTTTTATTTCAAAAACATGAAAAATGATACGATTTTTCGATTTTTGACTTTTCGCCAAAAATACATAAATCATGAAAAAAGGCTAAAATTTATAAATGCAACGTTTCGGATATTTTTTTGTATGCGTTTATAGCCAAAACAAAAAAGGACAATGAAACTTAACTAAAAAAACTAAGAAAAGACTAAAAAACTAAACTACTTGAGATAAAATAACTATAAATTACTATACAACTAAAAAGATGCTAAAAACAATTGTATGTTATGCATAAAAAAAACTATTCCGTCTAGAACTACTTCATAAAGTATTGGTTTTTAAAAATTAAGAAAGTGCTTGAACATTTTAATAAAATAAAAAAGAAATAAAAAGAAATTTTTTTAATTAAATTTTGTGAAGTTTGTATGCTTAGGACTAGCTATATACAATTTAGAAACACTTCCACTGTTTTATAAAAAAATCTAGATTTCGCACCATTAGTCATAAAACCATTAGTCATAAATTCCATTAGTCATAAACTCATTAGTCATAAATTTCATTAGTCATAAATTCAAGAGTCATAAATTCCAATAGTCATAAATGTTATGAAACTGATTGCTTGGAAATGTTATTCTCTGATATAATCCCGTTAACCAATCCAAAATTAATAGGCTTAATGATATCCGATTACGTGCAACCAAGGAGTTTGATTCGAGAACACGACAAGGACCATCACATACACCTCAAAACCTCTACCTTCAAACCTCGAAACTCAAACACAAAACTCAAGAAGATAAGCTCACTCACTCACTCAAGCTCAAACAAAAGATACTAACCAGAAATGAATGTTTTCGGCAATGCAGTAAATCGAAACATATATTTCTGAAATTTAAAAATAAGGTTATGATTTTTAAAGCGCCGAGACTGTTTTTATTTGCGCTCCCAGTTTCGACAAAATACTAGAATTCATGAATTTTATCCAATTCTGGCAATAATGAAGAAGCCTTAGATTTTATCGAGGGCACGCAATTCCATTAAATTTTTCTAGATCGTTTTTCTGGAATCTTCAGCGCCGGGATTAAGCTCGCGATGATAGCGACTTTCCGGAAATTAGGGTTGGCATTTTAAGGAGGAAGGCTTCGGCATTTTTTTAAGTAAAGCAATAATATAAAGTACATGCAAAAACCAAAGTGAAATGTCGACGAATTGGCCAACAATTAATTTATTTTCATCCATCAACAAGCGAAACGTATTTTTTTGGAAAGATTTTGAAACTTTGGAACCTTCGAGGAGCCCTTTTTTCCTTAGGATCAGGGATGGCCATTTCGGGACCCGGGTCAGACCCGGACCCCGACCCGGACCCGGACCCGACCCGGACCCCCGATTTCGGGGGTCCGGGTCGGGTCCGGGTCCGGGTCCGGGTCTTTTGAAAATGACCCGGACCCCCGAGCGATTCTTCGGAAGTAAATGCCAAACGTAAAATATTCAAATACGACATTGAAGTTTGGAGATATCTATAAGTTTTGCTGAAGATAAATACTTCATATTCAGTTATTAACACTTTAATACGTTCTAAAATTCAGTTTTCGATAGTAAATTGATCGGGCTAGACACCATTCGCCCCTCGATGATCATTTAACTATCGTAGAGGGAGTACTTTTCAAGTATAGCATAGAAAAATTTGCATTTCGAGCCAGTCTTGTATTTCCGGTGCAGAATAAACTGGGGGGGTCCGGGTCACTCTCAAAAGATCCGGACCCGGACCCCGACCCGGACCCGGACCCCCATTCCGGGGGTCCGGGTCCGGGTCAAGACCCCGGGTCAAAATTGGGGTCCGGGTCCGGGGTCCGGGTCCTTTCGTGACCAACCCTGCTTAGGATGCAATTTTTTTATATAAATACGGTAAGGGCTTTTAAGCTGATTTTTATGATTTCCGAATGCCGAATTTCCGAATGCAAATATTTAGGGTTTGAAATAGGTTTTTGAGCCTTTAGATGGTATTGCGCCACTTGAAATATAGCCAATTTTACTTTTCAAGTACTTACTATTACATTCCTGGACTTTTGTGAGCCTACTGCAAAAATTTGCGATGACCTGCTATAATGATAAAGAGCTTAGACTTCATAAAAATTTAAGGAAATTGGATTCATAAGAAAATTTAATAATGATTTGAATAAGTGTTTGATCAGCTATTTTATATGAAAACCAGTGGAAAAAAGCCGCTTCGCGGCAGTTTTCCACTGGCCACTTCTAGGTCTACATGACTGTAAACTCCCCAAAATCCTATCGGAATATTATGTGCCGGCCTACGGCCGGCACATAAAGCTGAAAAATGGATTCAAAGATACAATTCAAAAAAAGTTTAGAGATAATTATGGCAAAGAACCAATGCTGAGAAAGTGAGACACATATTAGGGGTTTAAAATATTTATTCGGCGAAATATCATATAAAAAAGCAACAAACAACAACAATAATAACAACAGAAAAGGGCAACAAAAACAATAATAATAACAACAAAATCAACAATGACAAAAGATTCAGAAATTTATTCGAGGACTTCTTCGTAGACGACGTTCTTCATCTTGTTGTCCTTGGCCATTATCGAGACACCTTTGCGGCTCCGTGCTCTCGAGAGAGCAACATAAAGCTGGCCGTGTGCAAAGATTTCTTCGTGTAACATTGCAATGCCGACCTTTTCGAATGATTGCCCTTGACTTTTGTTGATGGTCATTGCGAAGCTCAGCCGAACCGGAAATTGGCGTCGCTTCAGCACGAATGGTAGTGTGGCTTTGTCATAAAGGCAATCAATTCGGGGGATTAACACTTTTTTGCCTTTCCTGCTACCCGTGGCAATTGTGCAGAGGAGAATTCTGGCTCCGATTTGCTCGACAATCAGCCTTGTACCGTTGCAGAGACCCTTTTTGACGCTGAGGTTCCGCAGAAGCATCACGATGCAACCCACCTTTAGATGGAGCAGGTGGGGAGGCATTCCAGATGGTGTCATCTTGTTTAGAAGCTCTGCGTTGAAGTTGGCAGCATCGGTTGGATCAGTAGTCTCGGCCGAGTCAGCACTTCTGAAGGTTTTGACTTCTCCGGGTAGCATATCCAAGATTCGATTATTGAGCTCGAGAGCCTGTTCGTTCTTGGGTGTAAGGATAGCTACCTCAGAGAGTTCAACTCCTTCATCGAAGGCTGGTCGGAAGACTGCTTCGGCCAAATCTTGCTCGCATCTGAGATCTTCGGGTACTTCGAGGTATCCCTCTTCGTCTTTGTCGAGTAGATCATTACCCAGAGCGAGAAGATAGTCCTTCCAATCGTTGCCTGCATCCCGAACTCTCATGTTGGTCGTGAGCTCAAACTTTCGGAAGAGAGGCCAGAGTCGGGATGACTTCAAGCAGGCTGACACCATTTCAGCACGACCACCACCATCGACCACGGGAAGTACCTGTCGGAAATCTCCTCCAAGTACCATGACCTTTCCACCGAATGGCACATCGTTTTGCATAATGTCTTTAAGAAGAGCATCAGCTGCTTCGAGTGCTTCTTTCGGTGCCATAGGTGCTTCGTCCCAGATGATCAGGTCGATCTCAGCGAGTGCTCGTGCTTCAATGCTTTGCCTTTTCATGCTGGATTCCTTGTTGTTGGTCTTGATCAACAGACGGAAGGCAGTGCTGACTGTTCGTCCTTCTTCCAAAAGGTTGGCGGCAATACCTGTCCACGCTACCGAGAGAATCTTCTTGCCCATACCGGATAGAATGTGGTAGATGGTTTGGTAGACAAAGGTTTTGCCGCTTCCCCTGGACCGTCAATGAAGAAGCACTGCCCAGTTGGGTCTGCGACCTCGGCCAAGACTTCATCCGTTGCTCTCAGTTGTTCCGGGTTCAATTGCAAGTATTTGTCGTTCCCGAGTCGAGCATGCTCGGCGGGATCAACAACGACGATGTCAATGTCGTACTTTGGCAAATTGAGTTGGAACAACGGACTGTCTCTGACCCCGAGAACTGTCAGATCTTCGACAATTTCCCAGTAGGCCTTTGACTCAGAGACTTGGATGGAAAGTCCGCGAGCAAGGAAGTCCTGCATTAGGTCGTTTTTGAAGCGTTCCCAGAACGCCACAGGGTCCTGCACGTCAGCGAAGCAGATCAGGGAAGAGAAGAAGCTGCGAAGTTCTCCAGGCATC